CTTGCACATCATTGTTTACATGAAAATGATCTGTATACTCAATAACTGAGCTCTTCAGAGGCAACAGAGAAATGAAATCACTTTCCATCAGAGCATGATGACTTTTCAGCAAATTAATGTAAGACTGCACAGGGCTTGGATTACAATGACACAATGTCAGGAAACCCTAAAAAAACACATAGCCAACTTTCTTTTCCAACCTTAGCCCACCAAAACATTTGTGGGACCCACTTACAAATGGCTTGAGTAGGAGACAACCAATACTGGCTAGCCTTCTTCAATTGTGTGTGGCTGCACAGGAATATTATATCTAAGCATTAATGTTCAAGCATTATGATAATAAGGGATTTAATGCAACATCATAATTCCATTTTATGGAACATGGCTTGAGTTTATTTTACTGGCATAAATTAAGAGATTAAATACTATTTTATAAAATAAATCTCACTTTTTCCCCCACTCATCCACAGATGCAGAAGTATCTGTTATTGTTAAAGACAGCATATGAAAACTACATTCCAAGAAAATCCTACTTAAATATCACAATGTCAGATGGAGTTAGCTTTAACTCATTTAAGAAGCATTAATAAATTATGTAATGGTTAACCTACATAATATATTAGGAGCCATAGTGCTTAAAATAAACTATTAAACAATTAAAAACAGTATTCTACATTGTTATAAAGACTAATTTTAGTTTTCCATAAATAGAAAAAAAGTTTTTATAAAGCAGGATTAGTAATAAATCAAGGTGCTGTGTGGTGTTTCTATCGTAACGTGCTTTACTATAGCAAAATATGTTTACAGCAAAACAAAAGCAAATATTTTTTTCTTATCCTTTCCCAACAAAATGTAATGTTTTGTTGTTAACAGATAATTTAGTTGTTCTGTTTCAGTTTAATTGGAGTTATTACAAATGTTTCATGCTTTTATTTTGGTCCATAAAATGATACATGTTCTTCAAAATTCAAAAGTAAATATTGTTACAAGTTGGGAGGTGAGAGAAATTAAATTAAAAAGGCAAAAATTTAAAAGGTGAAATCAGGACCTGACACTGGTTTACCCCTTCCA